CTTACTACACTGAAATTTCTCTTCGATCAGACTCCTTTTAGTCTTCTGAAGTTTGCTTCAGATGTTGTGCAGGGACTCTCTGGAAGTGGTTTCCTCAGCCTGACCTATATTCACCATCTGAAGCTCTCCCCTGGGTTTAATTTTCTTCATCTATACTTGGGGAGGACAAGAATCACAGAACTAATTTATGTTGGACATCTCTTGGGGATGTCTTTGTTAAGAAGGCTTTCAACTATTAGATATCTGAAAATCAGAACAGGGAGATGAGAAACTTCAAACATATCAACCAGGCGTGGGGACGCATGCCTTTAGTCCCAGCACTTGGGAAGTAGAGACAGGAGGGTCTCTGTGAGGTCAAGGCCAGCCTGGTCTACAAAGTGAGTTCAGGTCAGCTGGGACTACAGGGAGACCCTGTCTCAAAAAGACTAAAAAAGTTGCGACTGTAGAGATGGCTCATTGGTTAAGGGCACTGCTCTCTCAAAGAGGACCCAGGTTCAATTCCCAGCACCCAATGCCAGCTAACAACCATCTGTAACTCCAGCTCCAGGTGAGCCAACATCCTATCCTGGCCTCCACAGGCATTGCACACATGGGTGCACTTACTTACATGCAAGCAATACACTCATTCACATAAAATAAAAAAATTAAATAATTTAAGATAGTAACACACACTTTCCCTGGTCTCCGGTGTTTCTGAGTGTCTAATCTGTTTGTGCAGAATTCCAGTCTTTTGCATACAAGTCTCAAAGATGACTTAATACTAGATATCACTGTTCTTAAATTTTAAACCCCAAGCCTTAGAAAAAGTTAGGGCAAAGGAGCAACCCAATGCATTGGCCAAATTCTTTGTTAAAAAATCTTTTATTAAATTTGTTCTGTGAGAATAAAAAAAAGAAAATGCGTTCAGCAATATGAATGTTATATTTTGTTTTGTTCCACATAATTAGATTTAATTAACATTTCATTTCTATAGTTTAAATTAATGGAATCAAATCTTCTGTGTTCTCTTTTTGGCCTGGTTTCTGTCACTCAGCATACATACTTTTACATTCATACATTACGCACATTGTGTCATGTCCTATCACACACTCCTTTTATTGCTGACTAGTATTTAATCATATCTGTATACCTCAATGTTATTAGTTCTTTGGGTTTTTTCCAATTTTAGATGAATACAAATAAGTTTAACATGCATATTTTTACAAATCTATGTGAGATAAATATTTTAAATGTATTAAGATGTGCTTTATGAACTAGAATATGGCTTAAATGGTAGGTGTATTGTGTGCCATTTCAAAATGGTATGAATCTAAATACTTCAGCATTATTTAAGACATCAGAATCAATAATAGAATGATCCAGAAAGTTTCTTGAAATTACCATTCATTAGTGACAAAAGCACACCATTTGCTTATCTTTTTTCTAGTCAGATTACTTGTTTTCATTGACCAAATACATGATAATACATTTCCATTTCACCTATAACTACAGTTGCTGTCCCTTCTTGAAAAGTTTCCAAAGTTTTAAGTCCTCTCTGTTCACTAAAGTTGTATGATCATGGTAAAATGATATATAATAGGACAAAAGTACCCTAAAATAAGTAAGTACTGAACTTGTTTTCAGCATTCTACTCTGACTACAATGGGACTCGATAAAAGGTGAAATATGAATTTTAAAATTTATTTAATTTTTGGTCTTTTTGAGTCAGGGTCTTTCTGTGGTCTCAGTTGGCCTGGAACTCCCTATGCAGACCAGACTCACCTCAATCTAACAGAGGTCTGTTTGCCTCTGCCTTCCGAGTCCTGGAATTAAAAACATGCACCACTGAAGTTTACTTCATTTCCTATATTAAAGCAATATGTCACAGAATGAAATAAATGGAATATACGAATAATGCCTATTTATGGAAGAGAAACTCTATACAAACATGTTTTGTTGTATTTTTAAAAAATGTATTC